CACAATAATATTCTCAGGACAGGTGTTGGGGGAGACTCACCTCTTAGACTTAGAGAGGAAAACTGATCGCTTTTCTACCTGATTAATTTGTGAGGCAGTGTGGGGGAAACAGACGTTCGTCAAAATAAGGAAAGTGAAGAAACTGGCATTTTCTCGCAGGTTTTAGAATTTTTATTGAAGTTTTGTGTTTTGACTCGATACCTTTCATGCCCTTTAAAGAACAAATTTAAGTGTGGATTTTATTGAAAAATGTTGATTAAAGGCATAAAAGATGTAAATTTTCAGTTTCCAGTAAATACATGTACAAGTTGTACGAGCTGAAACAACCCGCAGTCCATGTGCCATTAAAGGCACAGTTTTAACATAGTCAAATAGATTACGTGTGGCTATATACGGGGAAGAGGACGGTCCCCATATCTTAAGCCACGCCTTTTATTCACCCATTGCAAGATCCCAAAACGAGCCACTGAGTTGAGAGAGTTGTGATTGGCCTTTGTTGGATTTCCCGGAGGCCATACTGTAACAGTGGGCTCTCGTGGCCTAGAGGTTAAGGTGTTGGCCTCTCATTCAAAGGTCCCGGGTTCGATTCCGGGTAGCGACCAAAAAATTATCTTCTCTAAAATTGTCTCCTTTCACACCCTTTCCTCATCTCTAACAATGTTCTGTTGTCTGCTTTCATTTCCACTTTCTGCCCCCACCCCCTCACCTCTTTTGCCCCCTCTTCTGGGCTCCTGACTCTTTCTGCAGCCTTTCTACTGCTACTCCTTGGCTCCTCCACCCGGGCAAAATTCAAAATTTCCTACCAACTGAAAATATTAGGTGTGTCCCGCGCGCTCATATGACCTATGCAGTTGCGAGCGCCGTAAAACACTTTACAAAAACAAAAAAACAATACTGTAACATTTCTTCTGTATTCATGTTTCTTTGAAAATCTCTTGTTTTCTTTTAACTCTCAGGTCTTGGAGTGTGGGAAACTGACCACATTTTTGTTGTTGTTGCTGTTTTTTTTTTTATTTCTTGCCGTTCTCAGTTATTAAAAAGGAGAACATGGAAGGGGAGTGAAGTTGGGGGGGGGGGGGGGGGAAGGCGGGGGTCTAAAAGTGAGCGGTGTACGTACACAAAGGATGTCGAGGAGAGGAGAGTTTGGGGGGAAGGGAAATGGGGTAAGGGGGGAGGGGGGTAGGTAAATTAGCGCTTTTGGTGGGAAAAGAGGAGAGTGGGAGGACGGGAGATATTTGGGGTAATGTGTTAAGGGTTTGTTTAGTAGGGATTATTCCTTTAAAAGTATATATTCAACCAACATTAATCTATCTTTGGAGTGACTGAAAATGCACTATTATTTCCAGCGTGACTTGGAGTGCGTTCAAAATGGTCTTGATTCTGGAGCCGACAAACAAACACACATACAGACACACATAATATAGATACTGGTTGTGTCGGCAGAGAATATTAGATTCACTCTAAAAACATTCTGGTAACGCTCAACAGTATGACACTCAAAACAAGGCTCCTACATTTTGTACCAAGCAAAGAACGGAAAAGGTCTGTTGTAAACCCTCTGACCAAAGTGTAACTTCAAGAGCTGACTGTTGCTTATCGTAGTTTCTGTACTTTTGTTTAGAAGGCCTCTATTCTTTATTTCTTGTGTTGTGGTAGTTATAAAGGCATTAATAAACATACAGGGTAAATATAATGAGGATAAATCTTTGAAGCTCGAAATTTATGAAAGGAGAGAAGTGTTTAGAAAGACTTGAATTTCTTGTTATCTGCTGGGTACTCTTAGGATATAAGCATATTATATTATTTTGAAGAGAGCAAACGGAAAATTGTTATTTCGATAGGCGTATTTCTTTATTTTTAATTTATCCACATTGATACTGTTCTCTTCATTACAAAACTCGTCTTTTCCCTCTCAGTTTTCACGGGCTTGGGACCGTCACAGAGTACACAGTACACTGAGGCCTGATTAAAAAGACAGCACTACCGAGCGCTCACGTCTGGGGGAGTTAGTGTTAAGGGTTGGGTTATGGTTAGTTTATATAAACTAGTCAACAAAAGTTAAGGAACGTACTGTAAAAACAGTGATATATTTGCATGCATTCTTTCGAGGTTTTATTTTTACTAGTAAAACTAGATATTGGTGAAATGTTACTCTATGACTAATGGGCTTATACACACCAGGGTTTGAAGTGCACGTGACTCCTGTGCGATGAGCTGGGGAGGGGGCAAAAAGGTCCAATGTTTTCCAATTATCGATGTTTATTCTCTCGCTCTAACCGTCAGGAAAAATTATGAACGCTCAAAAATCAGTTTTCAAATGCAAGATTCATGTCTCGTGAGTGACTTGCACTCGCTCATTTGCACTGTGGATACACCATTCTGCTGCTGTAGGGCTAAGCATAAACATGCCTCCTCGACAGAAATTGTCTGATGTAAACAAAGGACGAGACATTGCTTGGGTACAAGATGGTGTTTCACTCCGACAAGTTGCTACACGTCCTCGAGTGTCCGTTTCTGTCATTTCACGGCTGATTCAGCGTGCCAACACCACTGGTAGTGCCCAAGAGCGACCCAGATCAGGTCGACCAAGAACCACTAATGCAAGGGAAGACCGATTCATTCATAGACAGGCTCTGCAGTCGAGATCCGCTTCTGCAAATCGCATCCAGACACGGCTGAGAGCGGCAACTCGTGTTAACATTAGTTGTCAGACCGTACGAAGACGTCTTCATGAGTTTGGACTTAATGCACGTCGACCAGCAGTCCGTCAGCATCTCACCTCAGCACACAAGGCTTGCCTTTTGCCGACGCCATGTAAGATGGACACGTTACCAGTGGGCAAACATTCTCTTCAGCGACGAGTCCCGGTTCTCTTTGCATCACAATGACGGTCGTATCAGGGTTTGGAGGCGACCCGGAGAGCGGCTCCTCGATGCAGCCGTCAGAAAAGTGATGCATTTTGGAGGTGGTTCTGTGATGCTTTCAGTCTGAACCACTGAACACCTCTGTACCATGTGCAAGGCAACCTCACTGCAATACGTTCCCAAGATGAGATACTCCGTCCACTAGCACTACCTACTCTGCAGCAGATGGGACCACACGCGGTATACCAGGATGACAACGCCGGACCTCATAGAGCGTTGCTCGTCCAAAACTTCGTGCAGCTGGCTGGCATTAACCTAATGGACTGGCCAGCCTGCAGTCCAGACTTGAGTCCCATAGAAAACCTCTGGTATGAGCTGCAGCGTCGAGTCAGAGACAACCATCCCCCTCCAGGAGACACGCAGCAACTGTTTCAGATGCTGCAGGCAGAGTGGCAGGGGATGCCTCAGAGAGTGTTCACCAAACTCATGAGCTCGATGAGGAGCCGGTGTACTGAGTGTCAGGACGATCATGGTGGGCATACTCATTATTGAAATCATCTGAACGGTTTTGTTTTTGTTGTAGTCAGAAGTTAAAATAACTTCGAAACCACTTGACAATTTTGGGTTTTGGGATTTTAACCCCTACCAAACTAAATTAGCTTTTCAAGCAAGTTAAAAAGGAATAACTTAATTTTCTTTTTTGTTACTTACTATACACATGTTGAATAAAATGTGTGCAAAATGTCATTGCATGTTGAAGTTTGCTTTCGAAGTTATACACTTTTTCTCAAATGTTCCTTAATTTTTGTTGACTAGTTTTAGAATATTTAGTTAGTGTTAGATAATTAGTAGTTGGCGATGGTCTGTTTGTGGTTATTGTTGGTTAGTTAGTGGTTAAAGTAGTTAATGGTAGAGTTGGATAGAGTTTACTTTCGGTTTGTCAGCGGTTAATAAGTGTTAGATAATTGTTGGCACTGATTAGTTAGTAGTTGTCGCAGGTTTGTCCTTTGTTGATGGAGTCAGTAATTGTTTTATGTCAGGATTTTGTTAGATAAGATGTAATGATGGTTAGATAGTGTTTTAGAATTGGTTAGCTGGTTTTTTTATAATTAGCATTACTCAGTTATGGTTTTATAATTAATAACGAGTAGTTAATATTGTTATGTTAAAGTGAATGTTCATTACTAAGTGCTCCTTTCTGAATAAGTTTATAGTCTGTTTTTAATTTAATTTAATTTAGCGTTTGTTAGTTTGTGGAGTATATTTAGTAAATATTGGTTTCTTTGTATCGAGTGTTAGTTAATAAGTTTATGGAAATTTATTAGTGCCCTTGGTTGATCTTTAAAAAAATAATGTTATTGCTATCAATGTTAAACTCCAAAAGGTGCCAAAGAAATGTTATTTAAAAAATTAAGATGAAAAAAGGCTAAGAATTGGATCGCGCTATATTTGTTCATAAGATCATAAGAAAGAAAAATTAGTATTAAGTTAGTTAATAAAAAGAAAAATGTTGCGACAACCAAAGGTCCGTGTTTCTCACAAACTCTCCATAATTCCCCTGAGCTTCTCGCGAGT